CTTATCCGGGGACTCTGTGGCATCTTCGTCTGGTCTCGCTGGCGTTGGTGTCGCACTAAGCGCTAGGGCTGAGGCAGCACTAATCGATTGGATCCCCATTAACAGTCGGTTATGTGCTGTTAGATTAGAAAGTTCCATCAAAGTGAGAAGAAATCGGCGTGAGAAACGGTGTCTTTTCGTCATCTCCGCCTATGCCCCGACAGATTGCAGTCCGGATGCAATCAAGGATGAGTTTTACCATCAGTTAACAGTTCTTCTCCAGAAAGCGCGTTCGACAGATATTGTAGTACTAGCCGGAGACTTGAATGCACAGGTCGGGCGTCTTGGCACAGAAGAGAGTCGTTTACGTGGCCGATGGGGACTTGTTGGTCGCTGGACAGATAACGGGGACCGTTTGCTGCAACTGTGCACAGACCACAACCTGTTTCTGGCTAGCACTAACTTCCGGCACAGTCATCGCCGGTGTGCCACCTGGCGTCCTCCCTCTGCATCCCAAGCCTGGACTCAGATTGATCACATCGCGATCAGCTACCGCTGGCGTGGTTGTGTACAAGACTGCCGCTCTTTTTGGAGTACCTGTCTGGAGTCTGATCATGCCCTGGTCTGCGCCAATCTCACCTTACTTTTCAGTGCTCGAAGGATTGACCACCATCAACGGATTGATGTTAGTAAACTGGCAAACTGGGCAAAGCTTGCGTAAGGACCGAGAAGCCTGGTGGTCGGAGCGTGCTAATGAGATGGAAGCAGCAGCTGCATCTGGTAACTGCCGGAAGCTCTCCCAACTCATCCGAGCCACTGGCAGCAAGAAGTCTGGTGTGAGTGAAACAATCTACGAGGATGACGGGATGCCAATCACTAACATCTGTCGACGTCTTGGACGATGGGCGGAATTTTTCGAAGGGCAGTTCAACTGGCCTGCTGCTCCGGCTACATGGAACAGTTTGTCCTGCCCCCCATGGCCGGTGATGACTGATCCACCAAACGAGACGGAAGTCCGCAAGGAACTCCAACTCTTGAAACGTTACAAATCACCGGGCCCAGATGACTTACCTCCGGCTCTTTTTAAAGATGGTGGTGACCTTCTGACTAAGGAATTGACTGTGTTGTTTGGAAAGGTTTGGGAGCAAGAAAGTGTTCCGACATCATGGAATGAGTCGATAGTCGTCCCTATCTTTAAAAAGGGTTCACGTTGTTCCTGCAATAACTATCGGGGGATAAGTCTACTTCCGATTGCGTACAAACTATTGGCTTCTGTCATTCTTCGTAGGTTGTTTAAAACCCGAGAACGATTGACTCTTGAGGAGCAGGCTGGTTTTCGTTCTGGTCGATGATGCATTGATCACATCTCCACCCTCCGCCAAATGTTAGAACACCGTCATACTTATCGCAGGCCAACAATCGTAGTGTTTCTTGATATCAGGGCGGCCTTCGATTCGTTGGACAGGACTGTTCTCTGGGATTGTCTATTGAAGAAGGGTGTGCCTGAGAAGTTCATTAACATCTTAAAGGCCCTGTATACGAACACCTCAGGCAGAGTGAGGGCATACAACCACCTTTCTCCCTTGTTCCATTCGAGCAGTGGGGTTAGGCAGGGCTGCCCGATCTCACCATTCCTCTTCAACTTTGCCATCGATGACATTCTGGAAACAGCTCTGATGGATGTAAGTAATGGGGGTGTGGATCTGCTGCCTGGAGAACGACTTCTCGACCTTGAGTATGCGGATGATATTGTCTTACTGTGCGATAATGCCCAAGGCATGCAATCCGCAAAGTACTCCTGCAAGACTGGCAGGATTCTAATCCTGTACTCACCCTGGATGGTGAGCAGATTGAAGTAGTTGAAAAGTTCGTGTATCTAGGTAGCTATATAAGTGCTGATGGTGGCGTGAGTGATGAGATTGATGCACGTATAAGGATAGCCAGGGTAGCCATGTCAATCTCCGCCATCTTTGGCGCCTTCGTGATGTTAGTCTGGCTGTAAAAGGTCGGATCTACAAAACGTCGGTGTGAGCAGTTTTGCTCTATGCTTGTGAAACCTGGCCTCTCCGAGTTGAGGATGTTAGACGTCTCTCTGTGTTCGATCATCGTTGTCTCCGAAGGATTGCTGACATCCAGTGGCAACACCATGTTAGTAATGCAGAGGTTCGGCATCGTGTGTTCGGGCGCAGAGACGATAATTCAATTGGTGTCACCATCTTGAAACACCGATTTCGGTGGCTTGGACATGTTTTACGAATGTCGTCCCAGAGACTTCCACGTCGTGCATTATTTGCCGACTCTGGGACTGGTTGGAAGAGGCGGAGAGGAGATCAGTGTATGACATGGTGTCGTGGCATGAAAGAAAGCTGCAAAGGGCTAGCTTCTGTTGGTCCTTCACGACTCCCTGGCTGGGGTCCGAGTGATGGTGCAACACAGTGGCTAGAGACGTTATCAGATATGGCTCAGAATAGAAGCCAGTGGCGATCGTGCTGTAACTTTCTTTTACTTTCTTCATAAAGAGTGGTTCTAACTTTCTTAACTGAAAGTGTCTTCTGGTTGTACATTTCAGTCCGCCTTATCTTTTCATCCCTTCTCTTCCTACTTTCATTATTTTGTGTGGCGCATATGTATCTGGTGCCCTTTTGTACCAATATGTATGTGTTTAAATAAATAAATAAAATAAAACCCTCCAACCAATGTTAGAATATCACCGTAAGTAAATCAGGCTAGCCGTCGCTGCTTCTTAATATCATAACCACCTTCAGTCCGTTGATCACAGCTGTACTCTGGGATCCTCTGCTGAAGAAGAGTGTGTCTGAGAAGCATGTTAGCATCTATTAGGTCCTTTTTACAAAAACGGGTAAAGTGAGAACATACATTTATCTCTCTTCATTATATCATCGGAGCAGTGCAGTTATGCACGGTTGCATAATCTCATCATTCCTCTTTAACTTTTGATCGATGACATTTCGGTAGTAGCTCTGATGGTAATAGGTAGAGGTGATGTGGATCTTTTGCCTGAAGATAGACTTTCAGATCATGAGTATGCGGATGATATTGTTTCACTGTGCTCTAATACTCAAGCTATACAAATTGCATTTAATCAGTTGGAGAAAAGTCTCCGTAGGTATGATATGTATTCTGCGCCTTCTAAATGCAAAATAATCTTACAAGACTGACAGTAGCCTGTGCCTATACTCACTCTTGATGGTGAGCCGCCGAGAGTATTCCTATGGTTTGCGTATCTGGATAGCTATGTGTGCTGGTGGTGGGGTAAGTGGTGAGACCACTTTATGTATAGTGAAATTTTATTATTATTATTTAAACGCATAAATATTGGTACAAGGAAGCACCAAATAAATATGCGCCTCACAAATCTCATTCGATTTGTGTGAGGGCTGTGATACTACCAAGGTGCCCAGACTGAAGCAGGTGGCTTTCTTGGGGGCCACACCCGGAGCCTTTGACCTGAAGGTCTAATCCACAAGGCAGTGGAGCATCGTGAGGAGATGCAATCTCATGGTAGCCGGTGACCAACAGTTGGTTCATACACCATTCGTTCCTTCAGGATACTGGAGCCGATGTGCACCATTGGTTTGGAATCAGGATTATTCAACTCCCCTAGGTGGATCCTCCACATCCACCAACCCGGTTAAAGCGCCGGACATTCGCTTTTCGTCCTCTCACTTTTGTGAACAACACCGTGGCCAGGAGAAGGCAGTGAGTAGGACTTCCCTGGTAGAGGCTATATATTCGCGTGTCCATATGAGAGCATTTGGAGAGGGAGAGTGGACTCTTCCCACTCTTGGCCGTACCAGGGCATTTGGGGGCATAGTGAAAACCAGGGTAGCCATGTCAATCTCCGCCATTTTTGGCGCCTTCATGATGTTAGTCTAGCTTTAAAAGTTTGAGCTTACAAAGCGTCAGTGAGAATAATTTTGTTCTATACTTGCGAAACAGTTTCTCCGAGTTGAGCTTTCAATAACTCTGTATTTGACCATCATTTCAAAGAGATGCTGATGTTCGGTCCAAACACTGTTAGTTATATGGTGACTCGACAATGTATGTTTGGGCACAGTGACAACAACTCACTTGGTGTCATCATTTTGATGTACCAGCTTCGGTGGGTTAGACATGTTGTAGAAATGTCATTCCTACCGCTTTCATATCGTGCATTTTTTCCGTAGAGATATGTAGGAAAGTTGTGTATTACTTGTATCTGTCAATACATCATGACCCTTTAGTTGAGGTCCTAGATATATTGGAACTTTGTAGTTTAAGACACTGACATAGCTCAGAATATAATTCAGTGGCAGTTTCGCTATAATTTCCCTTTGCATTCTTCATAAAGGCGAGATGAACCTTTTTTAATTGATTGATTCTGGTTGTATTTTTTTAAAAATGTGTTATTTCTCACACTACGTAATACTTTCGTTAGCGATGGAGTAGGTGACTTCATTCTTTGTCTTCTTTCAAATTCTGAGCTATCTGAATTGCTCATAACCATTTTGTGTTTTCGTTCCGCTAATTCATATTTTCTTGCATCGTATTTTCAATGCCTAATCTTTTCGATCACCACTGGTACTGTTACTACCTTTTCTATTCTGGGACTTGGTCTGAAAATTCCATCTATGACATCTCTGCTAATGATGTATGTCAACTTGAACCGATGTGCATGCGTACAAGGTTCTGTGTTGTGACTGACCGACTTTCAGTCACTTATTTTCACTCATTTATTTTTGATTATATTGACCCTCCATCTATCTCTTTACAATTTCAATCACTTATTTGTGTAACGTATGTTTATTTTGCTGGTTATTTTCATCTATATTTATGTTCAAATCTTTCTGATTACTGCTTATAATTTTACTACCTCTACCACTATGAGATTTGAATTGACATCTACATCTCTGTGCTAATGTGGTACGGCAACTCGAATTGATGTACGTATGTACGAAGTTCTACCTTGTTTCTGACTGACTGACTGACTTACTGAGTTACTTAATTTTTCTATTTTGTAGTATTTTGCATGACTTAGATGTTACGATTGAGAATATAATTGTCAGAACTATGTCGATTTATGGTGGCTCAGTATGCTTCGGTAAATCTGATCACATAGTTATTAGAATCTTTTTCTTCTCATTGCGTTATTCTAAATTTATTGAAGGTATGAACTATTCTTAATTCTTGTGTCGTCGTTTTATTTTACACAAAGTTTGTTCTTTAGATAAGTTGATAGTTTACTTAACATCAACTTCATTATATACCTATTCATTATAAGACTACATATGTATCTTTTCGCCTTCAAACTTCTATTTTCAGATTAAATTTCAAAGATGTCATCTACGCCTATTTGTGATCGTGTTAATACATACGCTAATAAAAGTAGAGTTATACCTGGTTATGAGGGTATACCATACAATTTATGTGTTAACGTTATCGGTTGGGTGGTATGTCGCTTCATTTGAATTTTCATTAACGGCAAATTTAGGTCCTAATGTCCGGATTTACACTATTAAGAAAACTTGCATGGGACTATGGGCGTATGGCTACATTTCAACCTAGGAAAAATAGGTTTGTTCAAGATGGTTTTCACGTTATATTTTTGTTGCAATTAATAAAATGTCCTACTTCTTTATAACAAAAACAAAAAAAAAACAGAAAAGGAATTAAAAAAAGGTTTAAGAAAATCTGAGTTTATACAAATTATCGAGTTTGAGACATGCTTAATTCATAATAAATATTCTTTTTCCAAATATTTGTTACCTAGTTTACAGACTGTCGATGGTTTGTCGACCAAATCAATCTGACTTTAATCCGAAAGATAATGAAATGTAAACTGGAAAAAGCTACACTCGTACAGTGTGTGAAAATGTTCTTTACTTAGTAATTGAATTGATAATTCTTCATGTTTACTACCAACAAAATTTCTTTGATTTTGTTTCTGATTAGTTAACTTGTACCGTAGTTATCGTGACTGATTCATAATAAAAAGAAACAATCATTATGTATAATCTACCAAGTTGGAATTAAAATGGATATTTATTGGTTACAATAATTAAAATTAATACTTAACCACCCATCAGTTACAGTTAAATGGCGCCAACCTTTGGATTCCAACTGATTGGAATCATTATTTTCTTGAAAATTAGATTTCCTAGGTTCTATTCTTTGTAACACTTTAACTATTTTTGTTTGTGTTATAATTGTATTTTTGCTATATAAACGACACAGCTATTCCTATTGCTTAGTATTGTTATATGATGACACTCGACAAGACCCCAAAATCAGAACACTTTGAACAGGAATGAAATTGTATTCAAAATAATAATAGTAAGTGAACAGCAATCACTGATTTGAATAACGTTCATATATCTATAGTATATACATAAGAAGCTTATATATTTTTCTGCAATAATATACCCGGGCTGATCGGTTTAGAATTATTCAATCAGCGCGCAGCAACACCATCGTGCATAAAACATGCTTTAATCCAATCTATGTCCCACTAACAGTTTGTGACCAGTCTCGACCAGTTAGTCGTAGACAGCATAGGACGTTTAAAAATTGTTTATCCGTATTCGAGTTGTTACACACTCAACATCAGCAGCCCTAGAAGTGAATTAACAATATAAGAAGTGAATAAGATGAAATGACAGTATATGCTGTCATGAAAAGTTAGATACAAAAAATAAGGTACCAAAGTGATAAATGAGGTCAAAAAAAATCAAAGTTTAGAAATGACGAATATCAAAGGAATCGGGACAATCTAATAGCAATGATAATGAGAAAGCCCGGACATTGAGAATATGGTTTGAGGGGACAATGAAAGTGTATGTATGACGAAATATAGTAACTGAAGATCTGCAGTAAGATAAAGTTCACCTAGGGGAGTTGGAAAACACTGATTCCAAACCAATGGTGCACATCGGCTCCAGTATCCTGAAGGAACGAATGGTGTATGAACCAACTGTTGGTCACCGGCTACCATGAGATTGCATCTCCTCACGATGCTCCACTGCCTTGTGGATTAGACCTTCAGGTCAAAGGCTCCGGGTGTGGCCCCCAAGAAAGCCACCTGCTTCAGTCTGGGCACCTTGGTAGTATCACAGCCCTCACACAAATCGAATGAGATTTGTGAGGCGCATATTTATTTGGTGCTTCCTTGTACCAATATTTATGTGTTTAAATAAATAAATAAATAATGTCACTCAAAGGACCTTATCATCAATCGTGGTTATTGCACGAACCTTAACTAGGTAATTTGTATCTACTAACATGACAGACTAACAGTCAATGACTTCATAGGCTGACTTTTTTGGTTTAGCCTCCTCTAGGTTCTTCCAGTTCTACATGATCTAACGTCCTCCATCTAGGTAGGCGGAAAATACAGAGACTTCTGACCGCTATAAGCAACCATGCAGGCATGTTCGGGATGCCATTCTCTCCCTCAAAGTGCAAAATGTTACTTCAGGATTGGGTTGCATCGATACCTGAATTAATGATAGGGAGTGAAGTAGTTTAGCGTGTTGACAGCTTCACTTATCTTGGGATTCTCATCAGCCCTTGTGGTCTGGTGTTTGACGAAATCTCAGCATGGATACAAAAGGCTCAACTAGCTTTCACCAACTTGCGTCATTTATGGCGTAGGTGAGATATTCATCTAGCAATCAAAGGACGGGTTTACTGCGCAGCAGTTCGTTCCGTCCTACTTTATGGTAGTGAAACATGGCCGATAAGAGTAGAGAGTATTCGTAGGCTACTAGTTTTCAATCATAGGTGTCTTCGACGCATTGCTCGTATATCGTGGGACCACCGGGTAAGTAATGCAGATGTTAGGAAACGGGTACTAGGTAAGGATGGCAAATCGATTAATGAAGTAGTGAAACTTCATCAGTTGAGATGGCTGGGACATGTGTTACGTATGCCCAACCACCGACTGCCCCGACGTGCAATGCTTTATGGTGTAGGAGTAGGTTGGAAGAAAGATAGGGGCGACCAGACCAAAACATGGCATAAATCGATGAAGTCGCTGACAAGTGGACTGGGACGTGTTGGTAGGTGTAAACTACCTGGTTGGGATCCGCGAGATGATAGCCATCGATGTTTAGAGACCTTGAATGACATGGCTCAAAATCGTTTGCGATGGCAAAGGTGCATCCACTCTTTGTGTTCTTCTGAATTCTTCAAGTCCCTTCTATTTTTTCTCTTCGCAAATGTATTTCACTGTATTATACTCCTTAAAAAATATCTCCAAACCCTAATCTTTCGGATTACTGCTAATACTCTTAGTACTTCTACCACTATGGGATTTGAATTGTCAACTGCATCTCTGTGCTAATGTGGTATGGCAACTAGAACCGATGTACGTACGTACGAAGTTCTACGTTGTGACTGACTGATCTAGGTAGGCGGCGGTTAGAAATGCGTGATACACGTCTTAGCCACCTCAGCTGAAGATCCACAGCCTTATCAATCGATCTGCCATATTTACCTAGTACCCCATACCTAACCATAATATTGCTCACTCAGTCGTCCCACGAAAGGCTACAAATAGTTTTAAGGCATTGATTATCAAAACTTATACCTTACGTGTGTGCATTTTTTCAACTTTCGTAGACTATATTTCACTCAATGCATACTAGTAGAAAATCATTTTTAAATCTAAAAAAATAAATTTCCATTCAATCTTCTTTATTCATTTTATTTTTCATTTTAGGTGGACTCTATTTTCAGAAATAAATGATGAAAATGTCAGTACTGACAGTGCTTCCATAGATAGTGTAGAACAAAATCCATCTACTAATGATCCTGTAAGCTTTTGTGTTCTAATTACTGTTAAACGTTAATTATTAAGTACAGAATTGTTTTTCACTATTTTTTACTACTTAGTTTTCTTTTCTTTCTATCTTTCTTTGTAGGGCTATTTTTCATGGATTGTTAATTACTTCAAGTTAACGTGAGTTACTTAACAAATTTTGTATGCATCGATTCCTTCAATGATTTTCTTATGTATTCTTCCGTAAATCTGTTAATCAACGATATATCAGTTGTCATAAGTTAATTTTCAAGCCTGAAAGGGAGGTCACTATTTGTTCACGATGTCTCAGGTTCATTCTTTGCCTTTTTTTAGATCCTGAGTCCTGAAATCTCTTTCATTTTCCTCTTCTGTCTGCATTTAATCTTTTTTTTTAACCATTACTGATGCTATTACGACTTGTACTATTCTTGGATTTGTGTTGATAATTTAATCTCACTGTGATAATATGGTATGGCAAGTTGAACCGACGCATATAAGTCTCATGTTCTACTTTACAGACAACTGACTGACTTACTGAGTCAATTGTTTTGAGTTCTAGTGGTTGAAAGTGACAGATAGCTCCATATCCACGTTTCGTGATGAATGACACTTTTCTCAAGGTATACTTGCAATCCTAATAAAATTGGTCTTCCTCATAAAACTAGAAACAGTGTCACGTGGTTTCATAGTGAGAAACATTGCCACTGGGCTACTCATCCCTCAACAGAAATCTCTAATCACTACTGTTCTTTGAGTCCTCTAGCTACTTTTTTGTAGTTAAGACAATAAAATCATCAAAAACCGTTTCTTGTGTAATGATGACAATAATTTTGTACAAACAATATTGTTAACCTGGCTAGTGCCATTCAGCATTGGAAATTGAGGTAGGTGGTTATGGGGTATACGCAACATATATCTCAACTGCCTCAGTCGGTGGAGATTCACAGTCTCATCAACCATTTTGATATCTTTTCATATTACCTTATCTGTCATTCTACAATGCTCAAGGTATGTTTCGAAGAGACTTATGATTAAAAACTCGTTAACGCATAACTTCTGCATCCACAGACCGTGTTTTACAGCCGTAGATCAACACAGAGTGAAGTTCTGTGCAATGTTTTCACCCCTTTGTTGACAGATGGATATTTTGTCTGCATCATGAGTGACGCACGATAAAAAAGCTGACCGGATTTCCTGAATTCCTGCAAATAATTCATCTGGCACTTCCAAGATAAGTGAAGTGGCCAATGTGTTCAACTACGACACTACCTACACACATATATACTAGGCTCTGCGTTACTTATGACTAACTGACTGATCATCTGACTGATTAAAGTAATAATACTAATTTATTTCTCTATATCTGATTTAGTTCTCATTTATTGATTGTTTTTTACACCATTTTTTTTCACAGTATTTCCTGAATAAATTTTTTCTATGCATACATTGTATCTTAAGAATTACTCTTATTTAACGTGAATAGTGATTGGTTATCGGAATGCTTTTTGATTGAATTCTTGAATAATGACCATGAGAATGGTTGTTCTCGACTCTTCATCAAATGTTATCTAAAAAAGTTAGATTATTTGTCGTTAGCATTCTCCTTGGTTGTCAAAGTAAACACAAACACAATATGTAGTACAACAGATTTATTCATTCAGCTGATAGATTCATAACCTCATCTCACTTGTTTCTTAGCGTAGGCGAGCAGAACTTGTGATTAATCAACCATCCTAGAAAAAAAAGTATCTGGCTAAATAAAGTACAAGGTTGTGTTGCGTAGATTAATGAAATGGATTTTTTTGAAATATATATCCATATATTCTGATCATTTGATCATTAATAAGTTTAAGCAAGTATACGAACAGTAAACTAAATTAGCTTAGTGTTATTTTATTCAACAATCTACTACTACCTTATATTGCTTTTTCCTCAAATTAGTGTTTTCTCTGTATTAAAATGATTAGATTGTTAAGTAAATGTGAATAGATTGTTTCATGGTAATTCTCATCACAAACTGTTGTCATCAGCACTAGAATCGTCAAAAGCCAAATGGAACTATATCTTCCAGTAGTGTATATCGATCAGTCTGCTCGAAACTGATCTTTTTACGATCTTAATGTATCACGGTAGGAACGATACCATTGAGATAATGTTTAGGAACAAATGATGTAACAGGTATGAAAGTGGATGTTACTTTCCAGTTGCCTGCACCATGGCACGACACTTCCTGAGGTACCTGAAACGGAAACTGGTTTACCGATGATCCTGACTATCCTGAGGTATAACTATTGTTCTCAAGGGAATACTGCTTCTGACCGGTTACAAAGTCTAAAGTTTGAAATTCATATAACTAGCGATGCGTATAACACAATCAACCAGCTAATCTTAATTTGTAGTGGAAAGTTATTTTTAATTCATCAAAATGTTCACATAAATATCTATTTTACATGCGGCATGCTAGTCACAGACAAAACAAAGTATAATATTAGTCAATAAAGTCATTGATTATTAGTCTCAACCGTTCCGATGGATGTACACTTTCCGGTTTCGTAGTGACTAGAATCTAAGTTTGGTGTATTTTTGTCAACATGGTTCAAATTCGATCACACTGAAATCTGTTTATTTATTCTTTATCTTTTTTTAAATTTACTACCTACTGAGACATCATACGTTTCTTTCTTTGATTGTATTTCTTACTCTTGCACTGTATCTTTTTATGTTCATCTCACTTATTATAGTCAGTGTTATAATTTTATTTCCTTGATTTCAGATCTCCAGCTTGTTTAATGTGTAATAACTTCCACCAACACACATGTCAGATTGCCTTTATAAACTGTGTTGAACAAACTGAGTGTGTGTTGAATACATCTTGCTTTTATATGAGAGTAATTATAGGATGATATAAAGTATCACAATGCTATATATATATAATTTGCATCTACCATGACTCAAATCATCAGTCGATAACTTTATTGTCTGGTTTAAATGCCTCTCGGCTTCTTCCAATTTACTCCTACACTATCTAACATCGTTCATCGAGGTCGATGGTGGTTGAATATACATAATACAAATTCATTTGGTGAGGATTTGATAGATTAAACACATTTCAGAGGTGAAATAGACTTCAGTATCCTTAGTTTTTTTTTAATGAAAATACTCAATCCGTACTTATTCCTAGCGTAAAATGGCGTTAAGCTAAGGAATTTTCGGAAACCGTTCAACCTCAAGTGAGTCACCTGACATTCGTGTCATATCACCATCCTCAATTTTTCACTGTCTTGTATGAGTGGATAGCTGTCTCCTTCGTAAACTTTATTTGCACTACAAACTCACTGCTTCCTGGTATTCCGACGACGTTCTTCACTTAATATAGACACTCTATTTTCATTTTATTCAAAGGTTTCATAAAACTGTTTCGCTGAATTATAATTTCAGAGTTCTTATATTGTTTTGTTCTTTTTTTTCTTGTATTTATCTTCTACAGATCGGCAGACTTACGATCGAAAGCAGGAAATGATGCTGTTCAATATCTTAGATTTCATTTCTACTTAATTATTTATACAGCAATCACCACAGTTTTCTGTTTGGTTGTTATACTTCCAGTAAATATACATGGTACACTAAAATGTAAGCACTCAAAATTTTATTTGATATTGTAATATATACATCCATCTGTTTTGTGATCTATTTGATTCATCCTTGTGATAATTTTATAGGTGAAGTGGGCTTCTGTGAATTATCACTACAGTTGTTCATGAACACTCATTTGAGGAAGACCAATTTATTATTTAATGCAAAGTTACCGAGTGTCTTCGCAAAATATGAAAATTATACATTAAATACTACATCCTCACATCTTCCATCAATTGTCTCGTACGATCTTTGTCGTTCTTTCAGTCTTGTTGTTTTTACTATTACTCTTTGTTTACATCCCTATCCTCTTTAGTTCGACCATCTTAATCTTCTTCTGTCATGCATTCCACTTTTGAATGGTGTTACGTACTACTTATGTCTGTCAACATTAGTAGCATACATCATACTACTACTACTACTACTACTACTATTTGGTTTACTTGTTATACTCTTATAAGCGTGCCTTCAGTACATAATGACTCGAAAAGCATGAAATCAATAGTGGAATCGTAATTACTGTGGAAATTGGTGCTGAATAATAGTAGTAAACAGAGATGGTATTCATCAAAAAGAAAACAGTTAAAATAATGAACCTGTCAGCAGTACGACTCCAAGTTTTTTTTTCATATTAATTCACCTCTTCTGGTGGTTTCGTCAATCTGTTGATTTCGCGACCAACTCACTCTCTTCATAGACACGGAAAAACCGACTTACCTTTATCAACCTTAGTTAACTGTGGTCCAGAGAAGTATTCGTGATCCGTATGTAAAAAGGGAGTATGCGGCATAGAATTCGGCTAATTATTATTTATGACTGTGAAGCTCAGCCTTTATATGCACAGAACATGGATAGTGTGCTTTACTGAGAGACTGTACAAAGTTATTGGTCGATATGAGACAGATGTATTCATTCATTCTTGATCTTTACTATTAGTTCGTGTTTTCATCTACTGATTGTAATTTTCACTCTGATTATATTTGTTTCTATATTTAGTTTTTATTTTGCTTTTTATCGTGTTCTGTTTGTCCTTTCGTTCGTTACGCTGTTTTGAGATATTGAATAATGACACGCTATCTGCCTCTGTTTTTGTCTTTCTGTCTGTACTGGTGTGTGATATGTATTCATATTTGACCGTTTGATGTGGGTGGTCACTCCAGTTTCATGATTCTGGATAATTAAACAACATTCTGTTCTATCAAGCTTATTTCTGCACATGTTCACTCTTCTATTATTGTTTTTCTATGGCTGTGTATATCGCTATACTATTACTGATAGTAGTATTAACGATAATGATGGTAATATTTCTGATAACTGTTGTGAAAGGTGGCATCCGAAATCTGATACTGATACAGGACGTGCTTTGCGCTAACCTTACAACTGATTACTTGGGCGAGAACACAAAAATGGGTGGGAAAGCATATTATATATATATATATATATATATATATATATATATATATATATATATATATATATATATATATTGGAAAATCAATTTCCTAGTCGATGATATGCACTTGTCCTCCAGGTCACTTCTGATTGGCTGATCATTTCATTATTACAACCGTTATTATATGTGTAAGTGCTTTATCTAGTGGGCGTTTACTGTTAAAAATGAGAAAATAAAATGTCTCTCTGGTGTTGTAATGTTTCTATAATCACACCACCGTTAACCCAGAAACATATGGAAGTATGTATGAGAACTTGAACATATGGAAGCTATTGCAGAAACAGTAAGAAAAGTAAACTAAATACTAGTGTTGTATTTATTATTTCATTTAAATACCAAAATGTTGGTACATGGAGGAAACAAATATATATGCACCACAAAAATCATTCGATTTGTGTTAGGGCCGGAATACCTTGTGGGCATCCAAGCCGATGTAGGTTGTTTTTTTAGGGGGCCATTCCTCTAACCTTTGATCTAGAGCTCTAATCCACAAGGCAGTGGAGCAACTTCAGAAGATGCAGTCCCTCGATGTCCGGAGCCCATGTACACCATTGGTTTGGAATTGACGTTTTCCAACTCCCCTAGATAGATCCTCCATATCTATCAACCCGGTTATTGCGCCAGACATCAGGTTTTCGTCCCCCCACCTTCGTAAACAATATCCTCACCGCTTGAAGGCGCTCTGTACGACTTTCCTGACTGTCGCTGTATATTCTTCGCTATATGAGAACATTACAAAACGAAGAGGTGAATGTCCTCACCCTCGGCCGTATCAAGGTATTTTGGGGCTTAGAGGGGAGGGGCATAAATTATTCATGAGAAACGATAACAAATGTCAATTATCTGTTATGTATAAGTATCATAATCGGTAATTTCCTTTATTTCATTTATTGTAAGCTTCACAAAGAAGTTAACATTAAGCAATAAAATATTCTTTTTAATATCGAGGTATTAGGTTTTTTGGGGAGGGGAGATCGATTGGAGGAGCAAACTAAGTACATTAAAAATGTGTTTATTACCAGTATTTCTTTTAATAATTGGGTTTGAATCTCGCGAGACAAGGTCGTGGATACGCACTGCTGAGGAATCCCACAATAGGACGAAACGGCCGTCCAGTGCTTCCAGGTTTTCCATGGTGGTCTAGCTTCAATTGATTCAATTCACTGATGAGCGGCCTATGCTCCTCGACGAGGGGTAACAGGCGTAAGTAAGTAAGTAGTTAGTTGTTCGTTCCTATGGCACGAAGTAAGGACTCAAAAGACTGCTACGATGGAGATCAGTTGTCTCTCCAAAGACACATCCCCGAACAAATCCCTAAATTACATTGTCCTTTGACCAAGATACACTCACTTATATAACTACTTTTTATACAAAACAATATCACATATAAGGAAAAATACATATGATTACTCAAAAACACTGAATTAATATAGGGAATATAATTTTCTCATTGAACGAAAGTTCGCACTTGTCAAATTGAACGAAGTTTATGCTGAATTAATACCAAAAATATTGACTTAAATAATACCAATTTGTGACACAAATGACTTGATTTTAGATGATTAAAGGTATTCATCAGGAAACTCTGCTCTACCTTGGTGTCGTGCTACTTGACACTTGTCAGCAGGGAATATTTGGAATTTTAAAGCAACTAATTTTTTCTGTAAGAGTTGAACCTGTGTCATCCAACTCCATAGTTTGTAATGTTTTCACTAAGGTATTTTGGTCATGACTACACTGATTAACCATTAATTAGGGATCAATGTTATACTTGTTCTAGTACTTAGTGCTGAACTGAATTCTATTAATCAGTGTAAAACCTAATGTTATTTCTTAGTTCTATTAACCTTTTCAATAAATATACGATATATATAATTTTTGTTATTAATTTCGATAAACAAAAAATGTAGCTCCTGACTTACAAAAATTCGGTGTTACGACCATATCAAATATATCGGCTAACTCATCGAGTCTATGGGTGCATACAATATTTGGCATTGGATTTTTTCTGTTGGCATTTTTTCTAATGCAACATTTCTCGAGGCAATTTCGTCGGGAATCGACTCGAACGCCGAATTTCGTGAGTTGTCTTATTGATCTTTATCATTTTTCAATGATAGATGAAGGGGGAGCGTATTTGTTTTCTTATCAAATCGTTTCCGCTTCATTAAACTAATTACTCTTCGGATATTTCTTTCTTTTTTGATATTGAATCTTATAATCGATGTATTGAATTGAAAGTTAATTAATTTACCTAGTTTTATACAAGGTACAATAAAAACTAAGTAAATTAACATGACTCTTTCTCCACGTGGTTGTATATAAGCTACACTTCAAGTATGAAGGCTAATAATATGCTAGCCGGTTGCTCAAACTAAGTTAGGTGGAGTGGGCCTCGAACGTGGTTGAAAGTATAACATAAGATACATAGTTAATACTCTGGTATGTGTATAATCAGATCAGTCCTCGAGATTTACGCTTTTGATTAGTGATCAATATAATCCTCTGAGTATTCAACCGTAACAGTAAGTACGACAAAAGTTCTTAACCGAAGCCCATGTATATTAAGATATTGGAAAGTATTGATATTTTTCTCTAAGAGTTCGCACAAAATATACCAGAAGTTAAATTTTATTGAGATCTATATCCTGGATCTTTTAAACTATTTATGAGTATTCAATTGTTCTTCCATAAAATTTACATCTTCCTTGAATAGTACATTAAGTAATTCTATACAAATTTTACTGTAGTTATTATAGGATGTAGCAATTGAGAAGATGGTTGAGTTTTATTTATTTACTCTTATTTTCCAAATCTGTATAATTTCAAGTAAATCGTGTTTCGTTGATTGTTTTAAGAGCTAATCGAAGTGTATAGAGAGTTCCGCATTGAATATCATTCCATATTCTATGCAAAGCATTTTCTTAGATTCCTAACAAAGTGTAAGTTGAAATCATAATTCTATGTTAAACACATCAATTTACGAATATATTTATATTGTGGCTAACAGGGAAATTCGGAACTCACCTCTCATCAAATTTAAAACATAACTATATACACTTTCATTCTCTATATTGATGTCAGTTCTCAGGCTCAAACCCCGTTCCTGTTAAAGCGTCACCTAATAGACGAGTGAAACCAGTCAGGCAACCATTTATTAAACAGGTATTTAGCTGAAAAGTTTTAATTAGGATAAAATGCTTATCTTAGATTTTGAATATATGAAGAAAATTGTAATGAAATTGTAATTTCAAGCTGTCCGTTCAGTTTGCACATATATCGGCTAAGACATGTAGTATTGATTATAAACATTAGGGAAACAGAAACACCTACAAATAGCATTTTATCAATACATCTCAAACCTTGTTTTTTTTTTAAAAAAAAATATGATTATCAGTGATATCTGTAGATTCCAGGTGATACTTTCACATAATTTCTCGTCTGTTTACATTATCCATGATTTCCTTTCACTTACAAAGTTGTCAGTAAAACGGCTATATATATTTATACACTTTTTTCATTTTCATAGTCAGAGAAGACATTGATGATTTCCGGGATATCACGTAGGAATTGTTCACGGGCACTCATTTTAAGGCATTTTGCGTAAGTAATAGTCTTTCCTTTATTGCTATATATCTTTTATAGCCCGTGTATCTGACTCCAGATTGATCATACGACGATGTTATAAACATAATTCTTCCATTTAACTCCACATTTTACCTAGGCTAACTCTGTTCGTATGACGGCTGTAATAAGAAGTCAAACGCGGGTTGCGTTGAATGGATTTATTTCATCCACTTGTGTATCTAGATAGACATTTGGAATAAAAATGGGAAAGTGAAACGGACAAGTCGATTGAACCAACTCGTTTTGATAAAATGTGGCTTCATATTTATGGTCAGGGGAAATAAACTACAGATATGTGATGAGTAGAATAAACAATGCATATATATATATATATATATATATATATATATATATATATATATATATGGCTCGTGTACAGAAAAGCCAGGGTATTTATAAAATTGAACATGACTTTGGGCTTTTGCGAATTTCTGAAACCATGCAAAATACAATAGCAGCCTAGCCAATCCTCCAGACAAGACCGTGGTACATGATTCTGCATTTTATGGGTGCTTCTGCGACGACGCTAATTGGATTAAATATTTCCTGAAGTTTCTGGGCCCCTAGGGTTTTTAACAAGGGATATTTCTAGGATTCTTCCAACAGATTTGAGATCAAAAACAAAACTATTTGCCAGAAAAATAATTTTGTACATCAAAATAATATAGAAATTATTAAGAGAAAAATAATATGATCAGTTTTCATAAACAGTTGGTCGATATCAACTTTTTAGGTCATTCTTTCTCCAAAGTGTTAACTCTTATCGGTTTAGCCTAATTCTAACGCGCCATATCACATAATCTATTAGGAGGTTCATTGAAAACTGTCGGTAGTTGATGAATACAGTTGAAAAATTGTTGTTCGTTAGTATTTTTTCGAAAAAATCAGAATTAAATTTTACTACCTTGTTTACCAGTTATTTGGTTATAAATCACACTGTAATTGTTATAGCTTATTATCTATTCAGTTACTTAAAGCGACTTAGGTGTATATTTGTATCTGGGACTTAGTTGGCCGAAAGTCGAAATAGACGTTTGATAATTGTACAACTGATTTCGGAATTACCAGTAACAAGGGAGCAAAGCAAGCAGTCTCTTCAACCTGTCCCCACCTATTTTGAGTAAAGTAAATACAGGAATTGTCAAGAAGTTCTCCTTAATTAATAAAACAAAATAGAAATTATCAGTTCTACAGCCAATCGATTTATATCCTACAGTCTAAAACAGGTTTTGTACATAGTGCTATTCGGATATTTTAAGGTGTAAACATTACATCGACTTGTAATTTGTCTATGATTTGAAATAGTATATGACTAGTTGATGAATCTCCCATCAATAACCTCAGATTGTGTGGTAATGTTTTCTCTCATCACACATTTCTTAGAAATGTACATTTGACAACGAATACTTGATGCTAAATGCACTATGACAAGTTGTATGTAAAATGAAGTAAAAAAGGTTATGAAATCAGAACAAACGATGTCAATCTGTGCTACCGTAGCTACTGTCTGAAAGTCAACTCAGAAATAAAAGCACAGTATACCGTGCCTTTATTTTACACTATCTTAGTGAAGTTTTTGTTTTCAAGCTGATGATGTTCAATGACTCTATGTGTAGGTAGTCACCAGTTATCTCTGAAGGGTTATTGGCATTCTATAACGACGTTATTTAGGTAATACTGTTGTTCTTCAACGTTTGTTTAGGTATAGTAGAAATGATGATTCAATAGGCTCATACGTTTTAAAATACCATCTTCAATGGATTTGTTACCCCATACACATGTTCTCTCAAGGGCTCCTTTAATGGTGTGCTTTAGGGTCTTAATTATCATTTATCCAAACTAATAAGTATTCGAGATAAATATATTGGGGGCCCGAAACATAGTACAGAAACTTTTCTGCTGTGCTTTTTTCTAACTAAAGACTGGGAATAAAAGGCGTTCTTATCAACAGGTCAGTCAGAATGGAGGTTATCTCGGTCTCGATCCAAGGTTTATTTTTCTATTCAAGACGAATCCTCAGTCAACGCTTAGGGCTCTAGCCTATAGGCAAATAGCCCACTTAACATAGCGAAATTGAAACCCGGGTTTTTCATTTTATTATTTTTATTTATACACATAAATATTGGTACAAGGGGGTACCAAATACATATGCGCCGCACAAATCTCATTCGATTTGTGTGAGGGCTGTGATACTGCCCAGGTGCCTAAACTGAAGAGGCCACACCCGGCGCCTTTGACCTAAAGGTCTGATCCACAAGGTAGTGGAGCATCGTGAGGAGATGCAGTCCCATGGTAGCCGATGACCAACAGTTGGTCCATACACCATTCGTTCCTTCAGGATACTGGAGCCCATGTGCACCATTTGTTTGGAATCAGGATTATCCAACTCCCCTAGGTGGATCCTCCACATCCACCAACCCGGTTAAAGCGCCGGACATTCGCTTTTCGTCCTCTCACTTTTGTGAACAACACCGTGGCCACGAGAAGGCAGTGAGTAGGACTTCCCTGGTAGAGGCTGTATATTCGCGTGGCCATATGAGAGCATTTGGAGAGAGAGAGCGGCTTCTTCCCACTCTCGGCCGTACCACGGCATTTTGGGGGCAAAACCCGGATTCTTATTTGTAGATTTCTGATATTGCTTAATCTGAAGTCGTAAGAATCAAAGAAGAAACGAAATCATATTCGGAAATACATTATCATTTTATATTTTATCGTCGACTGTTTTTCACGATGATTTAATTATCTGTTTTTATTTCCTTTTTGAAAAATAAAATTTAATCACTGGATAAACACTGATGATGAATTTTTAAAACAAGGTGACTTATTTGTAGCCATCGTATAAGTGCTTTTGTATGTTTACATGTAGAATAAAATCTTGTGTCCTGATCGTCTTTTTCCCACCTTACTTTTCATGTATTTTTTTCAAAAATAACAACAACCCAGAGAACTTTATCCTGAATGTCCTGTTGAGGATGTACAAATTTGTTATGATACACGAAAACTGATAAAACTTGAAAATCAGAGGTAAGTTTCTTTTTTGTGGTTATTTGCTATTCTTCTCTTCATGTACTTCTTTTCAGCTATGTCTACATATCATTTACCACTAGTTTAAATTGAATAAGTCTGTGGAGTAGTGGCCCAGTGGTTAAGATGTCTGATTGTCAACTACTACATCACAGTTTCAAGCACGCCTAAATTATGACTGAAAGTCAAATATGCAAGTTCTGTACGTGGTAAATGAGTTGAATAAATTGAATAATATATTGACAATGTAGCGCTATCTTATGTTTTTACCAAACTATGTATAGACTATCATCTGAATATTTTACCAGGTTAATTGTTTTCTTGTTCGTTTTAACACATCATTATGCCTATTAGTCTCATAACTTATTCAGGTGCGTTTCTGTAAAGTGTACAACCTTTCGCTGTACAAGTCACAGAAGTGACCAATCAGAGACATCGTGGTTGCTGACAATATGCATCAAAAACTTACTTACTAAAGAGTGTTGCTATGGTTGTTAGAAGGTGCATCGGTCTCGTGACTTCCGAAGAATTTCGGCTTTCATCATGAGACGTCATAATTATTCCTTCAACTCCCAGGGCAGAGTTTAAATGGTTTGAATTATTTTTTCTGGTTAGCGTTTTTTTAGCGAGTTAGCTTTTCTACGGGATGGGGTCGCTAACCCCATGCCCAACCCTCCTCCTTTGTGTGGGCTTGGGACCGGCAGTAACTCTAGAAGAGCTACAGGCATCAAAAAGAATATACATTAATCAGGTGTCGATTCTTGAACTGCTAACATCTAACTGGCGATTACTCAATATTTATCGTCAGGATCGGTCAAGAAATAAGAAAAGGAAACTTGTTGGAATACTTTGTGTTGAGGTTACTATAATGTGCCGAAAATCTTATATTGAATAAAGCCACCATTATTAATAATAATATACAGTATTCTTACATTCAAGTCAATTCACTAAACGTATTGGCTGATATCTCATTTGTTACCATGGTTGATCGTTCTGAATTTAATGTCAGTTAGTAGTTTTCAGGAGCTATCTTTGTCAGAATATGGGACAACTAGTCTTTGGTTCATATTATCACATCCCATAAAATCTCTATGTGAGAGGAAGATAGAGAGATTGACAACACAATTGTTAGAAAAACGGTAATAACAATATTCATTGAACCAAATGACTAAACTTGAGATATCAGTTATAGAAAATAAATTCAGTCAGTGAAGGGAATGATACACAACTCAAAATTATTCTTGTCTCCGCGATCAATTTTCTGGTCATAAAATCCAACATCATCAACCATTGTGTTACCATCATATGAAATCTACACCTACTGATATTGGACTCAATCTAACTGGTACTTAACTCCTGAATGCTCACCCATGTGTGTGTATGGGTATCATTTTATCAGTTATACTTACAGGCTGTGTTTCTATGTTTACATGCATGTTACCTTGAATCTTCAAAGGCTGTGAATCATTGTATCATGGCACCTAGGCACTTGAATATTTTAATCTTATGTGAAAAACTAATCTTTCTTGTCACTTTAATTTTGTGGCATTGCTTTATATGATTAAGTTTTCTTTTTTTTCTAAAGCGTATTTCTTTTGCAAAAACATTGATTTTTTTGTCAAGTGTTGTTAAGTGAATATTGACAGGTGAATAAGTAAAAACAAAAGAGGAAACAATTAATAACAAAAGTACTAAATTGTAAGCAAAGATGGATAGTGGCTAGCAGTGGAATCCAGGACGCGCATTTCGTTCTATTTGGGACTCGTCAGATGGATATACCTGCATCTCAGAGTTAATGTTCACTCTGGGACTGGAACCCAGTACATTTCTCTTCAAAAACCATCGCGTTATTTACTCGGGCACTGAGTCCTGATGGTCACTTGCTTGTGCAAACTACTAAATAGACATACAATCGTTACAATTCAAGTACCAATAAGTATCCTCTGTTTTGATCCACAATTCGTATATAAGGGATAGTAATACTACTCGACTGTCAAAACCTGTTGAGGAGTTCCAAAGTATTCCTTAGAAAAGCTCGCAAGGAAACTTATGGAAACACTATCCAATCAGCGTTAAATAAATGCATCTCAAAAAAATCCAGTAAATGGTGAAGAGTCCCGTTTCTGATTGGATATTTACGTATACTGCTACTATATTTGATATGGTTATAGAAATTTCCAGAAGGTCAATATCGTGTTTATTTCCATAATTATCATTATTATCCATTATTATCATAAACAAGCCTTGAAGTAAGGTGTTCTTTTTTGCACTCCATGCGTTTTCTCTTGCAACCAAGTTATCGTGTAGATTTAGCCTGTGGTTCAAAAAAATTAAAAATACTAGTACCTGTTATACAAATGATGTAATCCAGTAGTCAATAAATTTGTTGACTGATGTTCACAACTTGGATTTGTTGTCTTTTTGCAGAATATTCATTAATATACATTTGATTGTACTGTAGTGAACAAAACACTAGTTGGGGACAATCAAATGTATTTAACCACAAATTACAGACTATTTCACTAAATTCTGATAACCATACTGCAAACAGTTATTTTGCAAAATAGCAACCAATTATCTCAATCTTCACTGTTCCTTCTGTAAATATCGGTTCATCTTCTCTAATTTCATTGTTCATGCATTTTCCTACCGATTGCGCTTCATTTTAGTTCTTTCCTTATCGGTCTTCTGCCAAAATATATTCTATGTCTGACCATTGCCATTGGCCCCCAAATGCCCTGGTACGGCCGAGAGTGGGGAGAGTGCGCTCTCCCTCTCCAAATGCTCTCATATGGCCACGCGAATATGTAGCCTCTGACAGGGAAGTCCTACTCACTTCCTTCTCGTGGCCACGGTGTTGTTTACGAAATTGAGAGGACGAACAGCGAATGTCCGGCGCTTTAACCGGGTTGGTGGATGTGGAGGATCCACCTAGGGGAGTTGGATAATCCTGATTCCAAACCAGTGGTGCACATGGGCTCCAGTATCCTGAAGGAACAAATGGCGTATGAACCAATTGTTTGTCACCGACTACCATGGGACTGCATCTCCTCACGATGCTCCACTACCTTGTGGATCAGACCTTTAGGTCAAAGGCTCGGGTCGTGGCTCCCTAAGAAAACCACCTGCTTCAGTTTGGGCACCTTGGCAGTATAACAGCCCTCACACAAATCGAATTAAATTTGTGCGGCGCATATTTATCTGGTACCAATATTTATGTGTTTAAATAAAATAAAATAAACATTGCCATTTACTACTTATATGGATATAAGTAGACCACAGTACATTACCTTGTTAAGAAATCACTTATTTATCAATTCCATTTTTAATTATCATTATTAATATTGCTAACAAAATTTGATTTTATTCTTTCTCTTTCTCAAGAGATACTGTAAGAGCTGCTCTACGTTACTCTGTAGAAAGTTATGAACGTAAACGTAAACGTCCATTTATTATACCATGTTGTTGTGGTTGGATGTATAAAAAATGTTATGAAAATTATTGTTGTCGTAGTTGCTGTTGGAATACTAATAATCAAGTCAATTCTTCACAAAATTATATTTCCAATAATAATGATAATCATAAGGATAATATCATTGATACTATGCCAAGGCCTGAAACTGTTAACAATCAATTATCTTCAGCATCCTCCTCTTCTCCTCCTTCTCCTACACCTCAAATCAATTATAAGAAATGTAAATTATGCCTTTGTTGTTCATGTCCACCACCTACTGATGCAATTAATTATTACACAAATAAAAAAATTTATTTACAAGAAGAAATTGTAAAACATTATGAAACAACAATTAAAAAACCAATTGGTATTGCATTTGTTACATTCTCAACTAAATATGCTGCAGCTCAGTAAGTTTATTTATGAACAAATGAATTATTATATATAGTTAAAATCATGAGTCAATCGAAGTTAGACCACCATGGGAAACCTGGAAACACTGGACGGTCGTTTTGTCCCTCAGCAGCGCTCATCCATGATCCCGCCTCACGAGATTCGAACCGAGGACCTATCAGTCTCGCGCGCATGCACTTACCCGATAGACCACTGAGCTAGCATCCAACGGTTTTAATGCCCAACATCAACCAATCCATGAAATTGAGCAACCATTTCACCAATGTCTCCAATGAGTTGATATCTCCCAACAGACCTGGCTGAACTCCACTAGTTACTGGTTCTCACTAGAACTCTAGGAAATACCTCATTGGATCGTGGATGCGAACTGCTCAGGAGTCTCACAATAGGAGGAAACGGCCGTCCAATGCTTCCAGGTTTCCCACGGTGGTCTAGCTTCAATTGACTCATGATCTCAACTAAATAAATGAATTATTAATTGTTTTTATTAAAATATTATCTTATTATATTTATTGAATCTATTTCATCTGTTATATTCTATAAATACTACTTTTCTCATACTTTTAGTGTATGTAAAGAATATCGCAACATTTGTCGACGTTTAATTATATCTATAATGTCTAGTACTAGTTCAGTATTAAAAAGTCATATGTGGTCTGTTGATTTTGCACCTGTTCCAAGTAATATTATTTGGTATGTCCTGTATTGTTTTTGATTAATTATTTTCTTTTATAATTTTTAACTTTTGATCCTAATTAATTCAATCTATAGTATTTAATTTTTTCTAATGTATTGTTTCTTCGTGTACTGTAGATTGGAGCAACAGTTTAGGTAGAAAAAAATAAACGAGGATATCTTATTAGTCCGTTGAATCATTGACTTTTAGTCGGAATCTTGTCTTTATTAAACCTTACACCTTGAGTTTCAATGCTTCTTCATACATACCTTCTTTTCGAGTCAAATTCTCTATCTCATCAGCTCAGTGTCTATATATTCGATTATTACTTACAATTTCTTTGTCACTCATATTACTAACTTGCTTTCTTTGCATTGATGTGGTTTGCCCACTTAGGCTGAATGTTACATGTATATAAGACTCTACTTTGATGATGATGAATTGTAATAGTCAAATTCTCAATGGTCTTTATGGGAAAATTATCTAAGATTAAATGTTAATTACCTACCACACTTCATTGTTTTCTAATATGGAGGTTGTTCGATTAGTTCGAGAATTTTTATAGTAGTATGTTAACCTGTGGAGCGACTAAACATATAATATTTTACCATAACTTGTCATTGAACACTTACCAATATCGTTTTTGTCTAGACTTTACTGCCTATCAAATACTATCGATCAAATTACAAAATGACCAGTAGACTAAGTAATTCGAGATCACCGTGACTTTTATTTAATGTTAATTATTTCAAGGTAATTGTCATTCAATTACAACTCATCGTCAGTAAGTAAGCTTCAACGTTTTAGTGCTCTCCATCGAGGTGAAAATTCGCTTGACTCAGTGAGATATTTTATAGTCATAGAGTTATTTACAATTAATTGATCACTGAGTGGTGATCAATGTCATACATGTCAGGTCCTCCTTAATGCAGATGCAATCTTATCAACGAAGTTGCAATGTGACCACTAGTCTAGGTGACTCGATATTGCGTGCTTCATGTTGAGATAAGATGGTCGTTGGCGGCAGTCAACAGGAAACCTTGGACCTGGGTTTTGTACTATTTGGCACTCGTCAGCAAGGTATACCTGTAATTTTGAGGGAGCTGATATTCCCTGACGGATTTGATCCTGTGTCACCCAGCTTCACAGTTAGAGCCGTTACCACTAGACTGTTCGGGCCACCACTGACCTCCTTTAGGACTGAGATGTATTTACAACATTTGACTTACAATACACTGGGCTGAAGTCTCTTGATTCAATTGCTGGATGCGGAGTTAGGGACGCGCGCTGTTTCGAAGTTCCGTACTAACAAGAAAGGTTGATTTGGTACTTCTACAACCTCCGTAAATCCTCAAGTACTAATGCATAATTTAGTTGTATTTAATAGATTTGATTATTCCATCAACAAAACTACGATCATAATTCAGCATACATGCAATTCAATTCATGATTTTGAATGTTATTTTCACATGATCCGCTTCTTTGTTTGTTTGTTATGAAAATACGATTAATACAGGGATTTTGTAATTTAGCCTCTGGCATATTATATTTTGTCTAGAATACATCAAATCTTTTTCATCTCTATGTGATTACAATGTTGATTTAATTAAGTTATGCATCACTAACTCGTATATTTTTCATGCGTATAATTATCCTTCTTTTATTTTTTCTTTCTTCTTCTTCAAGAAAATGTTTCATCATTAAAATTTATCGTTTGTATTTTATGCTTCACATGTATCGAATGTCTTGATAATTAACTTTTACTTTGAATAAAGTTGATTAGTGTAGCAAATAAAAAGCATAGATCAAGATAATTATATAACATTTATTGTAGGTAAGACGTCTGATACGTTGGCACTTAACTATGACTTCTATTTTATTTATTATTTAAACACATAAATATTGGTACAAGGAGCCACCAGATATATATGCACCGCACAAATCTCGTTTGATTTGTGTGAGGTCTGTGATACTGCCCAGGTGCCCAAACTGAGGCAGGTGGTTTTCTTAGAAGACCACACCCGGAGCCGGTGACCAATGATTGGTTCATATGCCATTTGTTCTCTCAGGATACTGAAGCCCATGTGCACCATTCATTTGAAATCACGGTTTTCTCACTCATTCAAGTGGACCTTCCTTGTCCACCAACCCGGTTGAAGCGTCCAACATTCGCTTTCCGTTCTCTCAATTTGGTAAACAACACCGGTGCCACGAGAAGGCAGTGAGTATGACTTCCCTTGCAGAGGCTATGTACACCTGGCCATATGATAGCATTTCGAGAGGGAGAGCGTACTCTTCCCACTCTCAGCCGTACCAGGGCATTTGGGAGCATGACTCATAACCAATTCCTAGTTCTTTAGAAGTTTACTACAGTTCAATATTAAATAAGAGGTGGGAATTATGAGTAGAAACCTTGCTTCTCAGGTTAATTTAGGTACAAGCAACAAGAATATTTAGGGCGTTTATATATATGCGTGACTTTAACTCATACGAGCTTCTAAAGATATGTTGAGATTAGTAGCAAAGTCAGCAGTGGTTAAACCAGTATATGACACACAATTCATGACTTTTCTAGAACTTTCCCTCTCTTACCTGTTTATTGAACTCTGATTGGATAAAACATATTCGTAGCTTCCTAAAGCTTTTCGGAGGAATTTTTAATGACTCTCAACTTTATCATTGATGAATTGTATGGTGAGCTAAAAGAATGGTAGATTTGTTTTAAATGATTAGTTTTCTCGAAGCTAGTCATTCCATCTAAATATGTGTGTTTTAATTCTCAAAAAAAAAAACACTAATTTTCAATCATTGAGGTGAAAGTTTCAGATCAGTTCTATGCATCTTATTACGAGTACCAACTTTGTATAGTCAATTATCTTTATATATAAATTGTTGTTCAAAGCTAGCCACTAGAACTTCAGTCACCTAATCGACAATATTAGCAAACAGACTTTTTATTACATTATGATAAGGTATGATTTGTACTTGTTCTGATATTTATTTGTTTGAACACATAAATATTGGTTCTGATAAGTTACAGATAAATTGTAGATCACTGCCAAGACTACTATAGATCCTGTAGATTTCGGATTCACGAGTAAATGATTAAAAAATGGTTCAAAAATCCTATTGAGCATGGTTAAAACTGTAATAATGCTTTCATTTGAAATATGAATTCGATAGGCTACAATTATAAGGATTGAATAACACGTGTTTTAACCTGTTTCTAGTTATGTAAATCTAAATATCAACTTATCGAGTGATTGTGAAGAAAATACCCATCAACCGAACTATTTTAAGCTCCAAATCACTCTTGATCCAGTCACAAACCATCGAAAAGACAGAATAGAGCCTCAGGTTTTTCCCCATTTTAATCAACTATAACACTTGGAAATATATGTGGGCATTGATGTAGTTTTCCACTACATTTTTGTAATTCATTCATTCAGAACTTTATTTAATGTTGCACGCGCTATATACACATTCAAAATGTTATTTACTAAGAAAAACCATTCTTTTGATAGGTCCGGGGTCAGATTTTTTGGAAATTATCCTTTCATAACTATGTGTGTCTCACAGATGGGAGCTGTGGCGTAAAAAAGAACGAGCTGCTACAACTGAAACATTTTAGAAACATAAATTGAGTTTTGGCTAATATATATGACACTTTTTTTAGAGGTTCTCTAGTTTGATATGTAGTCTTGCTGAGTTCATGATAAAGTGTCATGCACCGTTGATATTTTCAATCAAATGATTTATATATTAGCGACAGTTTTTTGAATATCGATTTTAGTGTTTCATTAAGTAATGCCGTTGGAAATTAATTATATGACTCTACTAATTATGATAGGAAAACTGAAAATGCAGTGAGGATGGGACGTCGTCAAGTATTGTACCACAGGTTGAAACATGCTCTAACTTAGTCATCTTAATGATCGCGAAAATTTAACGCCTTAAAGTCAACTTCACCCATAGTTTTTAGTACAGTTTTTCTTAGAGAGATCAACAGTTATTAGTAAATCAGTTTCCTCAGTAAAATGTCACTAATAACTTTTCTGTTTTTATAAAAAATATTTTATTTTATCATTTTATGGCCTACATCACAGACAAACATTAGCCAGGGAACCATAGTGGTATTTTTAGAGTTCTAGTAAGAATCGGTGACCATCGAACTTCAATCTCATCGTGTTTGACAGTCATCCGCCAATCATATTGGAAGATGGTTTTACAATATCACAAACCAATTGAAATTAGAAACACCAGGCATTGCATTTCAACCCAGTAATTTGAACGATAGACACCCTGCAGAAACATTTTAATAGACCTAGGTTCAACTCCGGACGAGGTTGTTGCAATATAAAACATCTTGGTTTTCAATGGTAGTCTAACCAAAATTAGTCCATAAAATACAGGATGAAATTCAACAATAACAGTGAACCCATATACTAACGTTACTGTAATTGTTTTTTTAAATATATTTCAGGGCAAATCTAGCAGCTACGAGAACTGTATGGTGGTGTCGAGCAATTTTCATTAACTTGTGTGTTTTCTTCGTGGTGTTTTTTCTTACTACTCCTACATACGTATTGAATTTAGTTAATACATTGCATTTAACTGAACGTCTACAAATTAATGTGAGTTTCCTATTTTATATCATCATTATCATAGAAGCTTTTTTCTACTTTCTTAAGAGTCACTACACGAACAAAATTGAATCACTACCTAAAAGTTCCTGAAATTTAAGGTCAGCACAGAGCTGATTTTATACTTTGGTATACATCTATTATTTAAGTAATGACATCATTAATAAATCCCATAAGTTAACATATCATGGTCACTGGTGTTCATGTGCACCACTGGTTTGGAATCAGGGTTTTCCAACTCCCCTAGGTGGATCCTCCACATCCACCAACCCGGGTTAAGCGCCGGACATTCGCTGTTCGTCCTCTCAATTTCGTAAACTACACCGTGTCCACGAGAAGGCAGTGAGTAGGACTTCCCTGGTAGAGGCTATATATTCGCGTGGCCATGTGGGAGCATTTGGAGAGGGAGAGCAGACTCTCCCCACTCTCGACCGTACCAGGGCATTTGGGGGCAAAGTGGCCGGCAATCGAACCCGGGTCACCCGCGTGGCAGGCGAGCATTCTACCATTGAACCACCGACGCTTAGAAGTGATGGCAATGTGGTGTTTGTATTTCCTTCTATAATTTTTTATATAGAATAAGGATGTAGTACTCTGGTTCTTAACAATTGGATTTTTTCCCCGATATATCTTCTTATTTTACCCATACGCCGTTGTTGTTGTAGCTAAATAGTGAGAAGTTCATAGGTTTTTCATTACTTGGCGTATGATAAGATTACTGATTTTGTAGGTTGCCATATCATACGGTCTAATCAATTTATCAGGATTAAAAATTACTATTCGTTTGGTTAAGATGTGTGATCCAACTAATTCTACCTTAATCCAGTAATCAACTTTAACTTTCATGATGATCTAACCTACCTATGTTGACTGAAACCATTATGCATTCGAGTAGTTCAAAAAAAAAGCGAAAATACCAAGAGTAGCATGTTTCAAGTTCGAATGCTATGTATTACCAGAATGTGGGGAGAATAAAATATGTTCTCAGTTAGCCAGCGTCTACAGTGACAGCTCCCTTCGGATTCATGTGAGGCGTAGTCAAGCTGCTCTTTAAAACACTATACATCTTTTACCGCATACATTTTTGAGATCAAAAATTGTGGGATTGATGCTAAAAAATATAATAGATTAAAGATCCTATACAGTCAGCTCAAATCAATTTTACTGTCATACTCACATTGATCAGTACTACCTAGGTGAATCTCCTCTTCACTATCCTTCATTGAATATGTATAATCTCCAAACCTGTGAGATTACATTTAAATGGCGGACTAAAAGTAACTACAATTAACTGATCATATGAAGATGTTAAAATACATTTAGAAGTTTTTGCTAACCAAATGATTGATTTCAATGGAAACCACTCAAAAGTAGTACCAGTATAATGGAATGAAATGGGATATTACATAATAAAATATACAACTTACTGATTAATTTTATAGCGGGAAATATTGTGAACAAAAATGAAAATTACTCATTACGTCAGATTGGTATCATTAAAAAGTTTACATCACGAACTAACCTCAGTGAAAATCAGGAAGCATTGGATAGTTGTTTTGTTTTAGTATGAAGCTCTTCATCAACGCGCATCCACAAACTCACTAAGGATCAGACTCAGGACCTTCAAGTGGAGTCTTGCACGTTCATTATTGAGGAATCTCTTATTGGAACAAAGTAGCTGTTCAGTATTTCTTAGTTTATAGTAGTTGTTTTACTAACGTTAGTCCGTAATGTAAAAGTCTATGTTAACATTTTTGTTTTCTATATTTCTCATCCAATAGAATCCACTATTGATTCAATTTATTCCATCTATTATTCTTTGGTCGGTGTCTGCTTTATTACCTTACATTGTATTCAATTCAGATCGACTTGTTGGTCATTGGACTAAATCTGTTCTACATCTAACTGTAATGATTAAGACATACACTTTATTAATTTTAATGATTTTAGTACTTCCATCACTTGGCCTTACATCGTAAGTTTAAAAAAAAGATTTTTATTCGATTTTGTATAATATTAGAAGCTTACAGTATTAGTTATGTTTTGTGTGGAATAGCTTCCACAGTGCTATAAGTATACAGAGACCAACAGAGTGGAAATATACCTGTATTCAAACTATTGGCTTTAAATATGAACTCAAGTTTTCATTTTCGCTAAATTGAAAGTGTTTAGCTCTACTTTTTGTTAGCCAGTGTTATTTGTTTCATTTACATATTTACTTACGCCTGTTACCCCTCGTGGAGGAGCATAGGCCGCCCACCAGCATTTACCATCCAACCCTGTCCTGGACAATCCATTCCAGTTAACTTCCTGATAGAGTACGTAAAGTCATAGCCGTATCCGAGCATTTGCTACTTTAAGTCTTACCTTGACATTCACATTGTTATCTCTGTTTTCATGCGGTCCATTCTACATCTGCTGCCCTGCTGTATTTATGTATATTATTATATTTGTATAAATAGACAACCTCCCCAAAATTTCTATATGTATTATGAACTATTTTCGTAAAGTTGCCAGTGAAATTTTTTCTTGTAATTTTTCAAATTATCTGTAATAATAATGATAATAATACATATGTATATATTTCTAGAATACCTGCTCTACTTCAGTGGCTTTTCCCGGAAATGCATATCATACCACTTGTTCCAGCAAATAATAGTTCAAAAATTACTAATATTTCAAGCATCGCTAATACTACTAGTAATAATGATAACTATAATGCTACTACTTATAATAATACTAATAATTCAAGTACATTTACATCATCTTCATTGAAATTCGACGAAGAGCCAAGTCCATTTATTCCAATAGGACCACAGTCATTTCAATGGGAATGTGTTTTCATGCCAGATAATGGTGCTTTCTTTGTTAATTATGTAATCACTGCAGCATTTATCGGAACATCATTAGAACTTGTTAGATTTTCTGAATTATTTAATTATGCTTGCCGTCTTATGTGTGTCAAATCACAAGCTGAAAAAGCTGGTGTACGAAAGGTAAAATTTTCTACTAGGTTTTCATTTATTCTTCCGTTTACAAATTCCTTAATTCTGTCATTTTAATGAAAATGATTACTTAACTATTTTCATGTAATTTGATAGTCATTTTCTAAATGTGTCCTACCAACTGCCTTTTTTGGAGTAAACTTTCAAAGATGTGGTAATTTACATCACGGATTGACCTCAGACAACTGCTGGAAAGCTGAGTGCGCTAGTGACCTGTTTCGTTCTAGTTTAGGAGTGTTCTACAGTGCGTATCTATATCGAGAGCTTAACCTTTAGCCAACTGAGTTGGCATCCGATACTCTAAATTTCCACCTTCAATCAGTTCGCGACATTGCGTAACCATCCTCCAATGCCATGAGTGGTTAATTACTTCATAACCATTGCTTTTATTATCTTGGACTAATAATTATTGGAAATTCTTTCTTTATTAATAGGCTAGTCAGTTTGAATTCCAGTTTGGACTGTTTTATGCATGGAGTTTATGCGTTTTCGCTGTGATTTGTGCATATAGTATTGTATGTCCATTGATTACACCATTTGGTAAGTGATTATTATGTCTAAAATTTATACATTGCATAGTAAATGACATTATCATTATATCATTTGTGTTATATCGAATACTTGAGTGCCCAGTTAATATATGACGTAATATAGCCGCCCAATTAGAGAGCATTTAATTTATTGATCGCCCAGTGAGAGAAGAGCGAATTATCGATCGGATCAACAATACACAAAAGCCGTATGAACAGTCTTCAGTACTTATCAGTCCTGCTTTCTGCCTAGCCCAGCCAGTTAAGTCCAGAACACAAATAACAGCCTCTGCAATATGATTCATTATTCTCAAACATACTGGGTTTATATACCAACCAAACAGACCACATTGTACCATAAAATAGAAAATAACATTTGTACAAGATATGGCCAATTGTGGCTGTGAATAGGGGAAAAAGTAATCAATTGACTGGGGATAACTCAATAATGATAAATCGTATTATAATAGTCTATAGGTCAAAATAAAGCTTATAATAAGAGGGACATGAATATGAATAGTTTAGTTACTTAACAATTATACAATCAGAAATATATAAATCATATTGGTCCATAAACAGTCCTCAAAGGTTACCATTCATAATTTTCCACGGGATATAACAATTTGGTACAGTTTTGAAATTACGTTTCGTCATTAGCGATGTTAATAGTTATTTTTGTAATGTAATGTATATTTAGTAATTTTCTTAGCAAAAGTATTGTTTACATACATTATTTGTGCAATCGAACCATCTTTAGTCAATATTCATTAGAGTTTTGGCAAAATCTTTGAATGTGTTTTGTAGTTTTTCTTAATTTAATGACTTAGTTTGCTTTGTTGGATTAGGATGTATGTAAAAAGCCGTAACACGTCTCACTGATTTTGCATAATTTTGTTGCCATCTTCAAATTAATGTGAGCATAAAGAGGTGGTAGACGTTGTTACATGACATCAACTCTGAGATGCATGTACATCCAGCTGATGAATTTTAAATAAGAACGAAATGCGCGTCCTGGATTCTACTGCTAGTCACTATCCATCTTTGCTTATAAAGCTTGTGACTCCAGGCAACATCGAGGCAGTCCGCACAGGATGCACGTATGTCAACAAGAGACTGATCAATTGCAGTCCTAAATAAAAATGGAAAGATGCAGGTAAACAACACCAAGTGAATGTTGTTACATAACGCTATAGAATGAACGATTATTTTGTCAAATAGAGATCGATTAGCTTCTCGGTGTAATTTTATATTAGATTCTTCCTCTCTTCTGACAGAAAGAAATTGATCTATCGTGCTTGTCGACTTCAGAAGAGCTTACAGTACGGCAGTTATTATCGACAGGAATGGATAAGGATCTCGTAGTATTTTGAATAAAATAGATTTGAAACTACGACCTACTATATTTTATCTAAATGTTTGTTGGGCTTGTATGTCTCATGTTCGACTGATTGTGAATCATGTATCCTCATTACTATAACGAAAGAGCTGCCCATCGCTCCTCGGTTTCCAGTAGTTTTTTAGTTATATTCTTTGAATGGCATTCTTGCTTGGAAACTTATTCCGAACTACTCCCTGGGAGCAACATCATCCCTATTCAGGGTAAAATTCGCTATAAATTAAACAACTCATTAGTGTGCTGATGACAAGTTTGTCCTAGAAACTATTAAAGGTTATATTTACGTCGACTACTCCTTGATATCCTGTTCAAGTAAATAGGTAAATAGAATGATGCCACTAGGAGGACACATTAGACTGGACGAACTGGTATTTAACTGGATCTTTAACAATAGGCTCTTGATTCCTAAGTGCCACTAATTGTCCAAACCAACTATGAACTACTCTAGATAAATTTAGTGGATTTCGCGTTCATTCGACTCTTTATCACTCTCCTTTATTTTGCAAACTCACTCTATTCCGTAATGTTAAATTGACTGAAACAAGTGTTTTACTAGCAAATTCAATGTTCCTGAGAAACTTGAGTCAATGACATAATTCATTTGTTTAAAAGCTTTTTCACAGTTCCTTACCTTCATGACCAAATATGGCTGTACATCAGGATTACTATAGTCTACGTTCACTCTGTCAACCAAACTATTTAACAATGACTACCATGAATCTGATCAAACAAAAAAGTTGAGTGTTTCACGAGGACTATGATAGCCATAGATAGCATTACACATTCTTTAGTGACATTTCTGGCTTTACCCTCACCTTTACAATAATGCATTAGATACAGAAAATGTTGTCTGTCACTAGTGACTTATTGTTATTATTTATTTAAACACATAAATATTGGTACAACGAAGCACCAGATACATATGTGCTACACAAATCTTATTTGATTTGTGTGAGGACTGTGGTACTGCCCGGGTGCCCAAACTGAAGCAAGTGGTTTTCTTAGGGGACCACTCCCCGAGCCTTTGACCTGAAGGTCTGATTTACAAGGCAGTGGAGCATCGTATGGAGATGCAGTCCCATGGTAGCCGGTGACCAACGATTGACTCATACACCATTTGTTCCTTCAGGATACTGGAGCCCATGTGCACCATTGGTTCGGAATCAGGGTTTTCCAACTCCCCTAGGTGAACTCGCCGTGTCCACGAACTCGGTTAGAGCGCCGGACATTCGCTTTTCGTCCTCTCACTTTTGTGAACAACACCGTGGCCACGAGAAGGCAGTGAGTTGGACTTGCCTGGGAGAGGCTGTATATTGTCGTGGCCATATGAGAGCATCTGGAGAGGGAGAGCGGATTCTCCCCACTCTCGACCGTACCAGGGCATTTGGGGGTTTTTAATGCAACTTAAATCTCAAACTGCCGACTGAAATCCAATGCGATATTAATTCTCCATCAAAACAAACTATTTTAACGTTTTAAAATTGAAATCCAATCGTTATCGTAGAATTCATAAGGTTATCCGGACTTTTTGTTCTTGTTTCTCTCTTCCTTTTCCCTTTCAAAAACTCGAATCTAAACGCATTCACAGTATGAAATAACAATAGGAAGTTTATCCTTCTAGGAACTGATACATTGTTGTTGTCTGTTTTTTATGTAAGTGAGTAATTTGTAAATGGATATGTAAATTAGAAAATTTAATTTCCTTCCTTATATTCATTTTTAGGTTTAATCTATCTAATATTTAAGTATTTCGTTGAACGTTACAATCTCTACTATGCCTATTTACCTAGTCGTATTGATTCACACATTCATTGGCTTGCAATCAGTTGTATGTTAGCTTCTGTCTTCTTATTACAATTAAATATATTTATGTTTATTGTTTTACGTGCCAATACTGTCAGTCATGCTTTAGTAATTTGTTCATTATTGGGTTTAATATTCTCTGCATTATTAATGATTTTCACTATTGTTACTGGATGGATAATGGCTGGTAGTAGTTCAGCACGTAAACTTCTATTTAGAAATGCACATTTAGTCTCTGCCACTGATGATTCATTTGTTGATCAACATAGTCAGTATAGTAGTCCAATTAGTGTTCAACATAGAGGATCACATTTGAACGATATAACCAATGCTGTAAGTGTATTGTTGTTTTTTAATTGATAGATTTGTTACGTGATTTTTGTTTTTCTTTCAGTGTCAAAATTTGATTGATAAATTCCTTTGGAATCATGATCCGATTTAAGCTAGGAGTTCATTGGAAATCTCGGAGCACTTGACAACCGTTCGCCCTAGTATGGGACTCCTTAAAAGTATGCATGCACGACACTGAAACCAGGAGTTGAACGCTAGGACCTTGGATCTCCCGTAAGAACCCCTAACCTCTAGACTACTGACTCGGAATCTAGTTGTGTATACATTTAACTTCAGTCAATCCATGATGTTTCACGGCCATCTTCCGCTGTCTTTAGTGGGTAACTTCTTTACACCTGACATGGTTAAACTCCTCTGGACATGGCTTTTCACTTGAACTTCAGATATTTGTTTTGGAAACAAGTCATCAACATAGGCAATGGAAGATTTTCATGCAATGGCGTAGATTGATTGGTGTTAAACTTCTACATTATTGGGTCCTGGCTCAGTGTCTGGAGGTTAAATGCTCACACCCAATACCGTTGGTTCTGAGTTAAATTCCCAGTTTCAGTGTCGTGCATGTATGCTTTTGAGGAGTCCCATACTAAAACGAAACGGTCATCTGGTGCTTCCAGATTTTTAATTGTTTTGCAATATCGTTTTTTAAGTCGTAATTATTTAAATTCAACTAATGAGCACTACAAAGTGAATCTGTTTACAAAATAGTAGGTTTTTAAAAAAAAATCTATTTCTCACATTGTAGACTTCGTCGTCTTAATAGCCTGGGGCTAAGTCAACAGTATTAGCAAGAGAGTGATAGTTTTGAAGAGTAATTACATGCGTTCAATTTCTATAAACATCTGTACATTCCCTATTGTGTTGATATTTTAAATCCTATGTAGTAAACCAAAAATTATAACATTATATCATTAAATAGTAATGACCAGAGTGGTGATTAGATCCTATACCATACAGTTCCTGTTATTTACTTCTTGTTCAATAATTAGAGTAAGGATAGAAACACAACTGATAGTTAGACAAAAGATACATAAATAATCATACTAACTACAATTTCATGGGTTATCATATGGGAAAAAACTAGAATCACCTCACTATGGCAATGAGGTAACTTGAAGAAGACTAGGAGAGAGGGAGAGCGAAAGGCTTTGTTGTCATCTTTGAACATATTGTTTTTGTTTGTTTGTTTTCACCTAAGTTTAATAGTTTCATAAAATCATAACAAATTGTCTAATAACATTGTCGTAACTTGTTTTATGTTCATGTTTGTATATATGTAGATATATATATATATATATATATATATATATATATAGATAGATAGATAGATAGATAGATAGATAGATAGATAGATAGATAGATAGAAATAGAGATACAACAAGTTTCCTTTTCTTATTTCTTGATCGATCCTCAAGATAAATATTGAGTGATCGCCAGTTAGATCAACATCTACTTGATGTACATTCTTTTCAATTCATGCTGCCATCAACCACAACATCTTTGATTGAGCTCTTTTGTAACTGGTACAACGAAAGGTTGTACTTTTTTCAGAAACGCGCCTGAATAGTTTATTCGATTAATAGCCCTAATGATGTATTACAACATACCAAATTAGATAACTTGTTGAAGTATCTAGATGGCAGGAACAGGTAGCTCAGATATTCAAGTAGGCCGTCGTAGCATAACAACGATACTCATCGTATCGATGAGTTGACATCACTGGTAATTTTATGTTTTCATTATTCTGTTCACTTAATTAATGATACTGTGTCATTATTGCTTGTCTTATAGGATTTTACTAGATGCCTTATTTTATTGCATATGTTACCAAATTTTACATTGGGAAAGTGTATTTCTACTGCATAATTTTATTCCATAACTAATGCTGAGAAGCCTCTGTTTATAATTCATGATGAGTTTGACATATATATGATTAAGCATAGAGTAGTAAACAAAGGTAGCAAATCAGATGATGAATCTATAAATCTTCATCGACTGAGGGGTTTTTGACACTGATGTTGATAAAAAAGGATTTCTTGGGTGGTGGTATTGGGTCACGTGTGATTAAACCGTAATGACAGCAAAGAATTTGCATTATCTATCTTTTTTTTAGTCCAATAATCCATTAATTCAACCCTATTACCAGTAGGATCGGTAACCACCTAAGTACCGATTGACATATTGACCAATCAATAATAACCAAAACCTTAATGCTTATCGGTCTTCGATCTTCTTCAACCCATAGTTCAGTCAGATAATGAAGATGTTGTACTTGGTTCAGTCGTGATTCAAAACTTATAAAATATTATTCAGTTGTTTATTGTGTTGTAATCCATTAACATTTTAACGTAATAATTAACAAATACAAGTTCAGATCTATTATTTTTTATTAACGTTGTTTGTTTTCATTCATCTTGTCAGGTTGGTGATCAAAAATCAGTGGTCGATACTACTTTTCATATGCACAGAAATAATAGTGATCCGAATCAATTTACTCAACAATCGATAATAGATATATCACAAGCTAAGAATTTAACCACTTCTGTTCCTCATTCACCATTAATATCACCTCCATCACCTGTTCTTACCCCTCCTATATGTTCTTTACAAGTATTTAATAGAAATGATATAAATAGACATTCTCATCCTGTAAGAATTGATAATAAAGAACAATTTGTTGCACCAGTTTTATTAAATTTTCAAAAAAGGCGTAGTGTAGCTAATTTTATGAGTACACAATCTATGATTAGTTCATTATCGGAGAATAATTCTGATAATCATTCTCAATTAGAAGATCATAATGATTAAAAAGAAATACATTCAGTTATAGGCAGTAATTCCTTTTGCTTTTCTTTATAGTTTCTACCATTATATTTTTCAACAACGAGAACTATAATAAAATTTATCTAAATTGTCACCAGAGGAATATATCTTTCTTTATTTGTAAATCATCTTATATAAAACATTATCTCTTTTATTCTTATACTCTTACTACTTTTACCACTATGGGATTTGAATCGAAAACTGCATCTCTTTGCTAATGTAGTATGGCAACTCGAACTTATGTACGTACGTACGAAGTTCTACGTTGTGACTAACTGACTGACTGATCTCTTCAATTTGTCTTTTTGAATCACTTCTACAATAATTGTTCACAATTCCTTTTTCATGTCATGAACATTATGACTATCATCTTTTTTTTTTTTGAGAGAGAGAGTCTAGATTCCCAGATTTTTCTATTTACTTTTTCATTGATTATTATTTGTGTAATTTTGTTTTCTGTAATTATAGTTTGTTTATTCATATGATTTTCTATAATTTATGTTTATTTATAATTGAACAAAATGATTTCCTTTATAATAGATTATATGTGACGGGGGGAATGTTCGTTTCTGTGGGTTGAATATTTTTTGGTACTTACTTACTTTAAGCATACTTGTTAACTATCTCCCCCTTTTTCCCTATTACCATTATATATATATATAGATTGTGACAATAATGATGATGGTTAAATGAATGTACTTATCATAATTAAGTGGGAAAAACATTCTAAAAAATTATGTCTGCATTTTTTGCTTGTATCCTTCTTTTGCACTCTCTATCTATCTATCCATCTATTCTGTTCATAATTCAAGTCTAGCTTACTTGTTGTTATTTTGTGTATGTAGGCATGGTGATATGATTTATTGTTTAATTAAAGCTTAACTACGATAATCATAATATTCCAAAGATAAATTGATGATTTCATTTTTTTTGTGCTCAGAGTTGACATTGTTTGTTTTTTCTAAAAGAGAAAACACATGACGAGTAAAGCTGTTCATTTTGGGTTTTTTCTCTCGTTGTTTTCAATTGATTTTCCTGTTTTTTTTTGTATATATATGCAAAATGTGGATACCAACAAAATAGTAGGTGATATATAGTTCGTATAGGAATGTCTTGTTCAGAATCGGGAAAACAATGTTTAGGTTTGTCAGCAAAGATGGAAAGTGGCTATCAGTGGAATTCAGGATGTGCGTTTTGTCCTATTTGGGAATCGTCAGCTGGATGTACCTGAATCTCAGAGTTGATGTTCACTCTGGAACTCGAACCCAGTACCTTTTGCTTTAGGTTTTCTGTGCGAAATTCAATTGTATATATATTTATATATATCATGTAAAATGAGCGGTGGAAACACTTTCATAGAGTAGTGATCCGAACGTTTCTTCTTTTCTGGCTTAGATACAAACGTTAATAAGAAAATTGATTAGTAAAGACTAATAGCGCTACATATTGACATTTAAAAGTCACGGAATCATAAGAAATGTGAGTCTTTCGACATGGGTGGATATGTAGGATAACCTTGAAAAAAGAATCTAGTTTACCTAAAGGAAACGACAAATAAATGGTCAGTAAGTGTATTCCGTCCATTTAAGCAAACAGCAAAGTATTCATCAGTGTTATTTTTGCCCATTATTTAAATGTTCTTTTTCGGATATATGCTAATTGTCAAAATGAATCCATGTGTTTATAACTATAAACTGGAATTCAGTGCTTAAACGTGGATTGGTAAAATGGAATTTGTTATTTTTCTTATGTTCTACATTTATTGTATGATTAAAAATTTTATATGATCAATTACTAAATGGTATGATGAATACTCCTTTCTCTCGAACTCATAGCATTCTCAGATGCGTCTGGTTAAATAAGTGTACACATTGTATGATATCTATCACAAATGTGCAAGGTTTCATTGGATAACTAACTTGTGATATGTTTACTAATGCTTAGTCATTCAGTTTTGATATGATTATATTGGTTTTTATTCAAGGTTTTATCAACAACTTATTGTGGAACAGTGACTCAGTGGTTAAAATGTTTGACTCCCAGCTAAAAGATTGCAGGCTTGATTGCAACTTCGAGTATTTTGGTTTGGGCAGCTGGATAATAGCAGACCTTTAACTTCGTAATGATAATTTATAAAGCTTAGCATTTTATACATTATGCAGAAATATCTATACGAGTATAGTACAAACTAATCAGAGTTTAACAGGTTTTTTTCATTTACTAATTATTTTAGTAAGATTTACGAACTTACTCCTGTTACCCCTCGTAGAGAAATGCGGGCCGCCGACCAAAATTCTCCGCCTGTTGCTTTTCTATTTTTACTGCGTATCGCCTCAATATAGCCTTAATTCACAAGCATTATAAGCAGATATGGATAGTGGCTATATTGAGACGATATGCACAGTATTCACATATGCCAATTAGAGACTGACCAGTTACAGTCCTAACACATCGATGGGAAGATTCAAACAAACAATACTAAATAAATTTAAACTTCACCTAATTGCACAAGCAAGTAGCTATCAGGACACAGTAGCTGAGTGGATAACCAGATGGCGTTTGAAGCAAAAGGTACTGGTTTCGAGTCCCAGAGTCAAAATCAACTCTGAGATCCAGGTACATCCATCCAGCTGACGAGTCCCAAATAGGACGAAACGCGCTTCCATCTTTGCTTATTTTTTTTACTTTGGTTAATAGAAATAGCATGAACACTAATTTTGTCATCCTTTTATTACATTTACAAAAAAAATGAAAAAAAACTGATTTTTTTCCCTTCGATTTTCTTCGATTTGACCTTATATATTCAATTATTAATTGTTTTTTCATATTTAATTATTATTATTATTGTTTTTTTATTTTTAAACATTTCCCATGAAAACTGATATTGTTTCTATGATTATTAATTTTTGTATGGATTTCCATTAAAACAATAAACCATAAGTTTCATTCAATGTATGACCCTATTCTCCTTATTGACATAAAGTGAATTCTGATAGTTGTCCATATTATGATTCCTTTTTTAGTATCTATGTACATTTCATTTGTTCATTTTATTCATCATTTATGAACTAAAAAACAACTTATTTAATGAGGTAATCTGATAATCAATCTATTACATTGGCTATTTGAGCAATATTTGGATATTGAGTATGAACGGCCATGACTTTTAAATTGAATTTATGATTCATAATACTTTTGTAGTGTGGTCTACTTATATCTATATAAGTAGTATATGGTGATGGTCAGACATAGAATGTATTTTGGTTGAAGACCGATAAGGGAGAGCACTGTAATTAGGCACAATTGATAGGAAAATGAATGAACAATTGAATAAGAGAAGATGAATTTATATTTACAGAAGGAACAGTGAAGATTGAAACAATTGATGGTTTTTTCGCAAATTAACTGTCTACTGTATGATTATCACAATTTAGTTAGATAGTCTGTAATTTTTGTCTAAATACATTCGATTGCCCCCAACCGGTGTTTTGCTCACTACACTTTGTCTTTTGGTTTACTTAGAAACTAAGGATGGACACAATCGAATGGACGATTTCACACTAAACTTAGAATATGTCAACATCTCACTTTGGACAACTTGAATAGCTAAGTGGCAGTATTTCAAATATTGTGGTTGAGCGGTACGAGTTCGTGTCCGTAAGGAGAATCAGTCTCCTTTCGATTTCGGGTACTACATGCTGATGTGTACTAATCATTACGAAACCAAGGTAAAGTAATTGTTTCCTGTTGACTTCCTTCAATTATGTGGTGTTGGCTCGTTTAGTCTGATTGCCACGTTCAACTTCATCGACAGAATTTGGTCAATATTGATAGCTATAAGAACATAATATTGCTCAATTGTGATTACATCTCAGTTCTACAGGAGGTCTGTCGCTGCCCGAACAGCTCAATATTAATGTCTCTGATTGTGAAGCTGAGTGACACGGTATCGAATCCGTCAGGGAGCATCAGTTCCCTCAAGATTACAGGTACACTTTGCTAACGAGTGCCAAATAGCACGAAACCCGCGTCCAGGGTTTCTTGTTGACCACTTGTAACCCCCATCTTATCTCAACATAGTGCACGCAATGTCGAGCCACCAAGACTAGTGGCCACATTGCGAATTGATCGATAACATTCGATCAGCACTAAGAAGCATTTGACACGCATGACATTGATCACCACCCAGTGATCAATTAATTGCGATTGCTCAATACTCGATAATCAATCAATATAAACCCAAACTGTAATTGTTTACATATAAAATTCATTCTCTATATATGGTACCTTACTAAAATAGTTGTTTAAATCTAACAAAAAACGTCATACCGAATGGATGACAAAAATAGTATGTTGTCAGTAACTATTTGAATCCTTTTCATGAGTCTTCTAAAAAAGAAACTACTAAAAATAATGGATATAAACTTAAGTATCTTGGTCAAAGAAAGAGCATCTATTCCACATCTATTGATTTCTTAATAAAAACCAACCTAGAGAATTTGTTACTTTTGTTCCTTTCTGTATGTTTGTATAAAACCGCCTTGATTATATGTCTGAAATACATTTTTTTCTCCTTTTTATGTAAAGCAATTTTGTAGATTGGATAGTGATTGTATACTTTATCAAAGATATAGGAGATTGTCATTTTTAGACATTTGTGACTTATGTTTTAAAATAGTAACAGTAGGAATAAAAATTAAATTGAAAGTTCAATTGGCTTTTTTATAATTTGATAACTTATTCTACTTTGAATAGTTCATTTGATAAACATTATAAATGTTAATCTAATATAGAATTATAGATCAGAGGGGGTTTTGTGGAGAATTTAGTATTTTCATAGTTGAAATCATGAGTCAATTGAAGCTAGAACACCATCGAAAACCTGGAAGCACTGGATGGCCGTTTCGTCCTGCTATGGGACTCCGTAGCAGTGCGCATCCATGATCTCGCCTGATGAGATTCGAACTCAGGTTCTATCAGTCCCG